CTGACCCCCGGCCCGGCCCCGCCGCCGGGCCCCAGGGAGCCCGTCCGGCTTGAAGTTAGGCCAGGGGTGGGCAAAATAAGTTTATTCTGTTTTCCCACCTTCTTGAAGCCGTGCCCTAGGTGGGGGCAGGGGCGCTGTTTTCGGTTGCCCTGAATCTTTAAAACCTGTATTTTCCTAGATGTGGCAAATGAACCCTCGGGAGAAATGCCTCGAGAAGAAAACGCTTGTGGCAAACTGTATAGAGAAATGATAGGGATGTTTCGCTCTTCTTTTTTTTTTTTTTCTTGTTTTTTCCCACCTTCTTGAAGCCGTGCCCTAGGTGGGGGCAGGGGCGCTGTTTTCGGTTGCCCTGAATCTTTAAAACCTGTATTTTCCTAGATGTGGCAAATGAACCCTCGGGAGAAATGCCTCGAGAAGAAAACGCTTGTGGCAAACTGTATAGAGAAATGATAGGGATGTTTCGCTCTTCTTTTTTTTTTTTTTCTTGTTTTATTATTTTTAACCCCTGTGAGGTATTTGAGACCACGTGGAAGCAGTTCCCCATCACACGTGACACGAGAAACAGAAGCTTTGATTCAGCGAGGTCCTGACTCCTAGGACATAACTAGAAACGGTTTCAATCACATTCACTTCACAGCTGTTATTTTAATCCTTAAATATTTGGCTATATCAGGGCCTGACTTCCTTTGGAGTCTTGACTTTCTTCCTCAGACGTATCTGATGTAAATCACATACGTGTTTTGTAGGACTGCCTTTATGTTAGGTTTAGCCTTGGAAATGGAAATCTGCACACCTGGATTTATTTTACAGTCAACAGACTTTACCGCTTGCAAATTGTCCCACTGGTACTGGAATGCTTTCAGTGATAAAATTGGATGTATATGTATGTGTGGGATTAAGGCTTTAGCAAGTGAATGTATTTTCTAGCTTGTGAAATAAGATAGCTGTATAGTTGTGACCTTTTCCACTCTATACAGACTGGGTTTGGGAATAGGATTCCTAGTTGCTATGGTAATACAAATAAATAATCTGTAGACTTGTAATTAGACTATACAGAGAAATAAAAACATTTGCTGGCTGATTTGTATCTGATATTTTGCCTTCTTTTAATGAATAAACCGGTTGTACAATTTTTTTCTCACTGTAGTATGACCTGCGTCATCTGTGTGGTCCCCTTTGGGGTCACCCTTGGAAGGAGGAGAGTTGCTGGAGCTGGGTGCTGCTGGCAGGGCTGACTTTATCAAGGCAGAAAGTGCAGGGTCTGCTCTGCTGACCACACAGACACTGGAATAAAGTTTCTCTGGTCACAGCACCCTTACTTTGCTTTCTCAATTAGCAGTGGCTACTTTCTATTCTCTCCCATTGCAGCCTTTCAGCATGGCAAGCAGATTCATTAAAATACAAAGCCTCTACATTATAGCAAATCAAAAGACAGGAATGAAAACCTGTGGCTCTTCCGTGAACTGTGGAAACCGCCCTCTTCAGCTGCCCTCTCTATAGTCTGCCCTTCCTCTGTCCCCTGCCGATCCTGCATGATCTGACTGTGCAAGCACAGCGTTACTGGTAGGAATGCTCTCATCATGTTCAGGTGGAGTGGTTCGCGTTAGGAAAGTTAACTGTGTGCCCCAAGTGTCCCTGGGACAGTCTGTATTGTAGACAAAGGTGTAACTTAGAGATACACAAGCTAGGTTTCAATAAGGAGTAGAAGCAGTAAACCTCTCTGTCTGGTTTAAACAACCAGCTTTCTCTTGTTGCTCCTTTTTTAAAGCTGCTAGTGTTAAAATAATTGTGTTTGATGTGAAAAACACAGCGGAACTGTATTCTGTCTTGGGGTTTATAGGTGCTGATTCCTTTTGAGTAACAACAATAACAGTGTCGAATGAATTAAAACACTGGGGGCTGCTTATTTTGAAACTAAGGCATTTCAAGAACTAGTGCGCACTTTGGATATTACGCTGTATCTGTCTCAGCCTCCCTGCTGATTTCTGTTCATTTAGAATCGTTTTTATATTTAAAAAAAAGCACCATCCTGTTGCTATGGAAGTGGTAGGTTTGTGTAAGAGATGAAAATGAAAAGTGATCACAAGGCCTAAAGCAGACAAACAAAAATGTAGCTGTTCCCCCTACCTCTAATCGCTTTCCATTACAGTCATTTTAGCTGAGACTTTTAACAACTTTAAAAAGAAAACCTGCAAGTGTAGGTAAGGTACTTACTAACTTCATGACATCTGTAGAATTCTTTGATGCAGCAGCTCTTAGAGTGAAGTTGTTGTGTTTATCTTAGAATGGTTGGACGGGTTTGGTGTTTTAAGCTAAATAAGGCCATTCAGGAAGGATGGTGTTCTGTTGGTTTTTCCTTTTATATATATCCAAGGTGAAAAGCAGGTTAATTTGTCGTTTATACTCTATGGCTGTTTTGGCAGAAAAGTCGCTCCCGAGTACCGTCCAACAGACCTTTTGCTGTCACCGAATGGCAAGGGTTGGAAGGGACCTTGGGAGATCACCTAGTCCAAGACTGTCATAGCTGCAGTCACAACTTTTGAGTGACCACATCTGGAGACCATTTCTTCTGCTTCTAAAAAAAAAAAAAAAGCTGATTTTGCTGGCAAGTGTCCTTTGAGTCAGCATTTTGGCTGCCATGAAGGAGACAACACTCCAGACTGTCGCTTACAGGTTGGACAGACCACCGTGTGAAAGCCAGGCACCTATGTATTTATACATAAGCACTATTGATTCTGTGTTTACAGCTTGACAACATGTAACTGAGAACAAAATTTTGTCTGTTAGTGTAAAGTCAAGTCCTTGGTTGGCAGAAAATGAGAACAGAATTTCAGCCAACAGAATGGCGTTTAGGTATCTAGTGTAAAATCTTGGCGATGGTAGAGCTGTTGTTAAAGCCCTAATATTTTAAACATGGCTTGCAGAGAGGATGCGCGTACAAAATTAGGCCTGTGCCCTTGTTTGTTGCTACCTGACTTATAGAGAACTCTCGAGGTATTCTCTTTAAAAAGCTTCTTACTCGGTTTTGCATTGGAGATTCAGAGGTTGCCTTCTTGGGAAAACTGAAGTTTCAGAAGAACGGGTCAAGTTTTGACATGATGAGGGCAGTCTTTTGAAGCTTTGTTTGCAACGAGATTGTTTAAACCTCTTTAAAGTGTATTTTAAGTTTGTACGCCTCATGTATCCTCAGGTGAAAGGGCACCAGTGTTAATGAACCTAAACTTCGTAAAGAAAGAGGCAAGAATTCCACAAGACACCTCTGCAATCCACAGGAAGTCCAGGGAAGATGGGACTTGGCATTCCCCATACAGCTAAGGCTAAGGTTAAAAAAAAAAAAAAAAAGCTGAAAAAATGTTTAATGACAAGAAATGATTTTTTTTTAAACAGTCCCTTCTGATTTCATTAAAAACCATTCACACATAGGAAGGATGCACTTGGAAATGTGTTCAGAGGGTATTCAGTGCTCTGGATGATAAACCTCTTTCTGCTTCTGGCAGAGTATTTGGTTCCAGCGACAGCAGTAGCGAGTGTGCTGTGGCTTGCTGTGGGGGTAGCTCTGGGGAAAGGACCCCTGGGCAGTTTTGGTTTCCAGTCTATTGAAACAGACTGTTTATTTCATTAAAACGTACTGTTCTCTTGTGCCCTGACAGCAGCTGCTCGGTCTTACTTTTGATGCAGGAGCACTATGATACAATCCTGGCATTCTTCTTGCAAAAATGTCATAAATAATTCCTTGGGTGGGAATCCAGGGGAAAGCTGACACCGTGGTTCGGTGGATCTGAAGCTGGCAGGAGGAGAAAATGCGTTAAGTAAACCACAGTAGCAGCACCCTTGTTGCATTTTCCTCCAAGAGGAGCTGCGTGTGGTTCTGGCTGCTGGCAGCTCTTGGAGGTTAACGCTGTGATTCTTTGTCTACTTGAAGTGGTTGTGAAAGGACAGGTGGTTTTGTTTCCAGTGGGATTTTCTGTGGGGAAGCTGAGTGCTTTAGCTGGTGGATCCTTTCTGCTGTTTGGCAACAAGACTGTCAGTCAGACAGTCAAGACCAAACAGCAGCTCAAAGAGATCATGTACTCCGTTAACTTGCTCAGTCCTGGTAGGTGTTTGTCTAATTTTCCTCAAGGACCTCCACAGATGGAAACTGTGTGGTTGGCCCAGCAGTCTGCTCCAGCAACTTCTCCTTGTATGTCAGGCTTTGATCTAGTTTCCTGGTTGGCTCTTACAAACCTCACGTTGTCCATGTACTCAAGCAAGCTCCTTCTTCCTTCCATGGTCTCTTCCAGCTATTGTCTGTGCCATTCCTGGGGATGTCCTAAGACAAAGGAGAGGTGGATAGGGCTTGGCGTGAATTGTAGTGAACAGACCGTTGCTTCAAAACGAGCCGTGATGAGCGATTGTGGCATCTTCTCATCTGCCCTGCAGGGTAGGGCAGCACCTTCAGCTGCTGTGAGTGAAGTCCTCTTCTGAATTAATCCCCATCTTCTGTTCCCAGAAACACTGTGTTCCTGTCATTTTGTCTACAGTGGCCAGCGGCAGGTGCCTTGGGACAGAACATAGGAAGCAGGCCATGTCCAAATTTGTGTTGTTACAGTGTTGGGGTAGGGTCTGTCTGGTGTCCTGTTGAAGTGGGAGTCTTTGCGCTGCATTGCTTGAGCTTGGAACTGGATCCTCAGAGAGGGTCAGTTAAAAGCCTTTGTGTCAATGCCTGAACTCTGCATGTATTTTCTTCCCTAGGCCAATTCAAAATACGCACACGGGGCTGGATTTGTCAGTGCCGGAATACCAGGAAATCCACGGGAAGATGATGTCTGGCCATGTAGAGTATCACATTGTTGTTGTTACCCGACTGGCTGCCTTCAAATCAGCAAAGCACAAGCCTGAAGATGTAGTACAATTTATGGTAAATGTTTAATCAGTGCTGTGTTAGTGATCGCTTTCTTAATCAGCTTTTGATTATATTGGTCCTGATATAGCAGATACTTTATCATAACAGCGTTCCTGGGTCAAGGTCCTTGGTAGAACAACACAGTCTGTATCATTACTGCATGATTATTATATATACATATATATATGTATATACATAGATATACTCTGCAGGAGTATTATATGTACAGTAATTGAACTTTTCATTCCAGGAGCTCAAAGCAACAATGACTGCTTGTTGTTGCCTTTAAGGCATTTTGTGTTATGGGTCAACAAATAGAAACCAATTAAGCTTTTTTTAATAAGTCCTGCTACAAAACTAGTTTCTCTGATATGTTTACAGCACTGGGACTTGGTACATCAACATGAAATAAATATGTAATAGTTTACTTGAATGGAGAGAGAATCATGTGGGGCAATAAGAGGAATTAACCTTACGGTAGGTTAACCTTGATCTGTTAGCCTTGATCTATTAGCCTGGACATGGTTCTTAAAATCCTTATTAAGAGATTTTTACAAGGAAGTGTCCGTATAAAACATTATTGAGTTGGATTGTCTATTCCATGATACCTGCAGAGTAAAGGTTTGAAAACATAGCACATGAGATTCATTTCACCCGTTGTAAGTCATTGGTAGCATGTGCAGATCCACCTGAGCTGTCTAACCTGGGACTATCTATTGAATTGATGGAGAAAGGTGCATTTAGGGTGCATTGCATTTGATCTGCTTTAGCTGTCTGCTGAGCCACTCCCAACGAGTGCATTTCTCTGCCCAGTGACTATAAAAGGACTCTGAGGGGATGCACCCTGTTGCATGCTCTGAAAGTCTGCTCTTTTCAGATGTTTTGGGGATAACTGTTACGTCAGAGTGATGTGAGTGCATGGTTACCTGGTAGATCATTAGCCCTGGTGTAACTCACACTCCGTAGAAGACAGCTGATAAATGGGTATTTACACAGCCTGGTTTGCAGATAAAGCTGCATCTGTCTATGTTGTGAAAAGATGCATGGTGAGGAGATCTCATACATTTATTGCACTCCTTATGCTATATAACTTTATGGTAAAAGCAGCAACGCTGGCATAAGAGCCTGCTCTGTTCTCCCTCTTTGTCCCTGACTGCTTGTTCTCTCTCCTGCTGTGCCAGTGTCATGTGGCTATTCTGTAATGTCAGCTGAGGAACTGGCCCTGGCTAAAAATGGGTATTTGGGGGGTTGTTGTTTAATGCTAATTTACAGCTGTTCCTTGAGCCTGTGAGTTGCACAGCCCCATTAAAGTTTGGTTTAGGACCGGGGAAGAGCCAGGCATGGGCAGATAAGAGAAGGGGATGTGGAATGGCTTTTTTCCCGCAGCAATGCCTGCTTATATTATGTAATATTTCCATGCAGCTCTGTACAAGAAAGAACCTGACTAAGCCCAAGCTGTTAAACTGGGCTATTGTCATCTAACTTTTTGCTTCGCTTAAGAAAAGGAGATCAAGTCAGCTCATCTATAAAGAGGAGAAACAGACTTCCCGCTGTGGCCCCCCTGCTTGCTGAGATTGTCCGTTCCTATGCCTGCTCTCTTTGGGAGGATTTTCAGCACTTAGTTGCTTTTCTCAAGTGAAATGAACCTTTCTGATTTCTTCTCTGGTCAGACCTTCTGACATTCCATTCTTCATGAAGAAGAAAACCGGTGTAGTCTGATGAGAATAACATTTATCCCATCAGATAAATTTTTTTCAGCTGACTAAGTCTGATATATTATATAGTTTGGTGTATAAGAGTAATTTAAAACCCTGCGCAGGGAGGTTGGAGGATGGATGCTTTGCATCGATTCATTCCAGTGAGTCTTTTCTGTATGTATTACTGGAAGGAACAGAGGGATTCACCTGTCCTAACTTATCTCTCTGTAAGTTGGATATTTTAATCTGAGTCTGTCCCTGCTTTTATGGTCAGTGGGGAGAGGGGGAATGAGGTGACTCATCCTTTGGAAACGCCTCTCTCCTTTGACAGTAAAGGGGAAGCATTCTACAATTTAGACAGCTAGGGTGGGGGGCTTCATCTCCAGGCTAAAATTCTTAAGGCTTTATTGACTTGCATGCAACTCGCTGTCTGTACCACCCTGGGATTTTCCACTTAGCCTTCAGAAGGTTGTGGGTCTCCCATAGGTCCTGTGTGATGTTTGCCTGCCCCACGCAAGCCACTTGAACATCCCAAAGCATCTTCGATGGTGTGAGATGCCTGTCTTCAGGCAGAACAGTCTGCTCTCTGTGATGAGGTATCTTCGTTTGCGGCGGATTTCTAAGCTCCCATCCCAGTCACTGCTGTACTGTTGAGAAGAATGTAGCTGAGCATCTACGGTGTGTGGAAATCCACTTTGCATAACATACAGGGCCAGTACCATTTGAGAAACCCTGAGTTACCCTAGGTGCCTGCGCAGGGCTGGCAGATGTGACACAGGACGTTAAGGCATTGGCACCACCCTGGAACAGAGCGAGGTGAGATACAGTACACCACCCAAGGTACCACTAGCTGCCTATGTTCAGGTGAGCTGAGGTTCAGTCAGCTCTTACCAAAATGTAGTGACTATATCTGACTGTCACAAGAGCTGAGACACCTCCTGCGTGTAGGCAGTTGTCCTAACCTGGAGGACAATTCCAACCCCATGGCTGCCAGGTGAGGTGGGCTGCACCCACCGTGTCTGTGCAGTGCCCTGTTCTGCTGGGTGTTGTACCAGCGCAAGCAAGAACTGCAACCCTTCTCCAGAGAGTTCACAGGTGAAGTGTAAGAGTGCCAGGCGGCAAGGGAACGGCAGAAAAGAATGAGGTTACGTTGGGCAGCAGGGTCAAATACATCAAATTTATATAGCGAGAGGGAGTGAGATGAGACATCTGAAGGAGGAAGAAGAAACAACTGTGTGCCTGTTCTGCCTTCCCAAGTATGTGAGCAGGATGGGAGAGGGAACTTACTTTTGCTGTTGTTGCTAAGTTATCAAATCTGAGAGGCTGGAGGAAGGAGCCAGTGTCACAGTGCTGAGATGACAGGTAGGTTAGAGAAGACGGGTAAGCGTGGTAGGGTTTTCATTGGCTCTGGATACGTCAGTCCAGTTTGGGCTACCTCAGGAACCCAGGTCTGTGTTTTAAGACCCTTTGTCTTTTTTATTCCTCCTCCATCCCTTCTTTGTCTCCCTGAAATATTAGCTAAATTGATTTTCCTTGTCTAGCTGTTCTTCCACCTGCTTCCAGTTGGTGTGACTGCCTTGCACACTCTCATGCCCTAGGTGGCAGCAGCGAAGCTGCTTTGCTCTGCATTTGGCTGTAAGCAACCGCAGGCAGCGGTGTGACTGAGCAGCACCTATTGCTCAAACAGCTTCTCTGTATCCCCTGGAAAAAGATGGTGAGCAGGGCTGAAGTGTCCTCTAAGCTAGCTGTGATCTCTGGGCTGTGATTTGGACCGCACTGGATCAAGATATGTTAAGGGCCTATGACTAAAACCAGATGAACAGCAAAAGGAGATTTCAGATCTGACCTCTGGAGTCACTAGCCTTTACTGTGGGTCTGAGCAATCCGGAGTTCCCTGTTCCCCAGCTTGAATGGGACTATGCAAAATCAGTATCGTAGTGTTTCTAATTGAAATGTTTAAGAACATTAACAGAAGTAGAAATTCACTTCTATGATGACTTTCAGGTCTAAATTCTTAGAAACTGGATGGATTTTTTTAATTCAAAAAATTTGTAAAACAGGACAAATAGGTTGTAGAACTGCTTAACCTTGAGGTTATATTTGGTAATTGAAGGAAAATTCAACTGAGTTTCTTTCAAACGTCAGAATACTCTTGCCCTGTTGAAAGAGTGAAATTGCTTTTGTCTTTGGTGCTGCATCAGAGGTACTGCTGCAACAGTGATATTTAGTTATTGCCTGTAGACCTGCCATTTTTTGTGAGAAAAAAAGGCGTTATTTATCTTAAATGCATTTCTTCTAGCCACACCGTACCTTTTTCAGTGATTAACTGGTCTCTTCCCAGCCTTACTAAAAGTCCACCCAGCCTATAGTGCCCTCTGTTTCTATCTGTGCCCAGTTTAATTGCTTCTTTTTTACAAGTTACTTTTGTTAGTCAAGTTTGTTCTTTTTCAAAACTGAACAAATAACTACAGACACAGCACATTTTGGGGAAGAATTTACTATAGAACTGTCTTCCTCTCATAAAACGAGGGAGTGTAAGTATGTGGGCGTGCATTCATCTGTTTTCATCATTGCCTGTTTGCATATGTTGGCCTTCTTTCCGTGGGCCTCAAAATCTGTGTGTTGGAATTGCTATTTCCTGATCATACAGGTGTGTTGTGAAGATAAATTCCTTCACATTATAACGTTTGTGATGGGGGGCAGGGGGAAATCCCTGCTCAGTGTAGCAATAGGTTCAGGAGCCATTAAGAATTCACGCTGATTAAAAAACGCTAGAGTGCTTGCTGTTCTGCTGGGCAAAACAGGTGGGGAGAACAGCATGTGGTCATGTAATTAAAATCTACCATAATGCATACCCACGGGGTCACCAAGCAACATTAATTCTGGTATGGCTTGAATTGGGAGCCTACAAATGAAAGCTTGGTTTGTGCTCTCTATGAGAAGGGGTGCTTTTGATTCTCGAATCTGAAGCTGGTGGCTGTATAAAGGACAATGACATTTGTGACAGTGTTAAGAAGTGGGCTTTGTAAAAAGAAAGTCACATAAGTATTTCATGTAATACTGTAAAATCAAGAGTGCTCTTCACAAGTGTGCGTTGGCTGGCCAAAGGGCTTGAGTTAGCTCTATCTGAGGCCTCCATTTCATTGAAATCCTTGCAGTAAATATAAAGCATATGAAGACAAGTTTGAGGTCAGAAATGGGGCATTAAAATGAGAGTCCGGGGCTCGTATCCTACAGGCATTCTGGTGTGTGTACTTTCATGCATGAGGTTCTCCTGAAGAAGGGGGCAAGGCACATTCATGAGATTTGAGGGATTAG